CTGTCACTGTGGTTTAGAGGGTGGCATAGAAATAGCTACAGAAGTGGTGAGAAGACAGTGAAGTTAGTTTCCCTGGGCCATCCTCAGAGCAAGGGTGGGACATGGGTGGGCAAGTTGCCTGTCAATGAGCTCAAGCTTCCTCTGGCTCTCAGAGGGAAAACAGAAGGCTCTGTTCTCACTTTCTTCTGTCTCACAAGGAGGATGTGATTGGTTGAAAGTTTAGCGCCATAGAAAGAAGCCAAGTACTTTGCAGTGGGATGATGGGTATCTCAGGAATTAGCAAGATCCCACCCATCACAGTTGCAAAAATATTTTTTGAAAAGGGACCCCTGGGGTGCCCTGCTTCACAGAGAATTTTTACCTTGGGATTTGTTTCTCTTGTTTAGTCAGACAGACATGCAGGCAGAGCTGCAGCTGTGATCCGAAAGGACCCAGATCCTCCTTTCATTGTTGTCAGATCTAGGTGTCATCCTCGTGATGCTGTTTTGAAGACATTTAGAATTCAAGCACTGTCAGGTTAGATGGAGATTCCAGTAAGATTTCAGGGGAAAGCCTGGGAGGTTTGGCATTGTGTGGGACTGCTGTCAGAATCCCTACAAACTGGCTGCAACAGCAGGAATTATGAAGCTGTGAAAGTTTACTGAAAGCTGCAGTAGAGACGCCAAGAAGATAGAGACACCAGGAATGTGGAACACCTGAGGAGGCATCAAGGCAAGGCAACCCAGTAATGAGGCCTTATGGGCTGCAGCAGGCCACAACATACGGGCTTGGCTACATGAGCCCACAGGGATCCATATTGTACCACCATACCCACTGGTGAGCACCATGGAGCTATAGGATTTAATGTTTGCCCTGTTACATTTTTGTGTTGCTTTTGCCTAATTCAACTTTGCTCTTTTGCTGTTCCTCCCTTTTAGAATGGGAACACTTACATTATGGCATTGTATCTTGCAAGTATGTAACTTTCTTTTCGATTTTTTACTGGTACTCATAGCTAATGGGACTGTGATGAGTTTGATTTTACTGGCCTCCAAGAGAGCCAGTAACTTGAGAGACAGTTGTGATAGAAAAAAAGATTTAATTTAGCAACAAGCTGCATGTCGGAAGATGAATGACTAGCAACTGAGTTTATCTTGCCTAGTGCCAAGGAGAAGGAGTAGACACGACATCTTTCATCAGAATGTTATCTCAGTCTGTAGTTGGGCTTCTGTGTAGTTCATTAGTCCTGAGACATTGCCTGCTGTGCAGTGAGGACTATGAGCGTCTTACCTGGTTCTGAGGGTCAGGAAGTCACCCAAGATCTGTGAATCTAGGAAAATCCTGTTGGTTGGAATTTTGCTGTTTCATGTGTGTGGCTGGTTTCCATCAGTTAGTTTCTCTTCTACACTTTTACAAGTTCTCTCTCTCTCTCTCTCTCTCTCTCTCTCTCTCTCTCTCTCTCTCTCTCTCTGTTTTTGTGGTACTAAGGATTATTGAACCCAGGACCTTTTGAGACAGGGTCTCACTAAGTTGTCCAGGCTGGGCTTGAATTTTCAGCCCTTCTGTCTCAGCTTTCTAGAGCACTGGGATCATAGGCATGTACCACCATGCCTGATTACAAGTACATGTTAATTGCAGCCTTTCCCATAATAGGAAGGGAGCGTGTGCAGGGAAAGGCTTAGTGGTATTTCACTGTCTCTCCAGTCAGTCATTATGATATGGAGCAAGGTGCTGGGAGAAAACACAGTTACACTTGTGAAATGAAAAGAAGAAAGAAGAGAAAAAAACTCTTTAAGTGTTTGTCTTGTGTCCCAGGAAACCCTGGACTTGAACTTTTGAGCAGTGCCGGAGCTATTGGGACTCTGGGGACTCTAGGAAATGGACTGAATCCATTTTCCACTGTGAGATGTACACAAACATTTGGGGATGTCATGGCTTGTGTCTAGATGTCCCCCCAAAGCCTTATGTGTTCATAGGTAGAGTTTCTTGGGGTGGCTCAATCAAGGGTGTGTGAATATGGATTAAGGGTGTGTGATAACTAAATTGGTTTAGCATAGTTCTGAGTGTGGATAATGGAAGCCCCACCCTGGGTGTGGGTGACACCAATCAGTAGGCTTGTGGCCTGAATGGAATATAAAGGGACAGAAAGAAGGTGCTTTTTGCTTTTGCTGCCTCCTTCCTGCCTGCCGTAGACTATTTCTCCCCTGCCATTCCCCTCTCCCATGACAACCTGCCTTGGAGCCAGCCAAGCATGCACTGAGACCTCTACAAACTATGAGCCAAAATAAACATCTCCTCCTTTAACTTATGCTTGTTGGGTATTTTGTCTCAGCAATAAGAAAAGTAAGTAAGATAGGAAGTCACAGGTACAATATGATGGTTTGGATGTCAAGTGTCTCCCAAAGACTTTGTCTCTAGCTAATGTCTTTGTAGGAGATATTGGAACCCCTGGTCCCTCCTTCCCCTTCCTGGCCAAAACCAGGCAAGTACTTTTCCTCTGTCGTGCACTTTCCTTCATGACGTATTTCCCTACCACAAGCAAAGAGCAATAGGGCCAAATGACCGTTGACTGTCATTATGGCTTGCATCTAGATGTCCCCCACAAGGCCTTGTGTGGTCATAGGTGGGGGTTTTTTCACAGGTGGCTGGATCTAGAGTGTGTGATGCTGGGATTAAGGATGGGTGATTACTACATCAGTCCACTGATTGGTTTGGACCTGGAAAGCTTGGGATTGGTGCTTGTTGCTCTCACCTGCCTGCTTGCCATGGACTATTTCTCCTCTGTGATGTCCCTCTGCCATGGAGCCAGCTGACTATGGACTGAAACCTCTACCAACTGCGAGCCAAGTAAACCTTTCCTCCTTTAACTTTCAATGTCAGGTCCCAGCAACAAGAAAAGTAACTAAGACAACTGCAATCTCTGAAACTGTGAGCCAATATAAATATCTTTCTTTTAAGTCGTGACTTCCGGTATTCTGTCACAGTGACAGAAAGCTTACTAACATATCTCTGTGCAAAGTACAAGAGGTTCCAGCTCTCCTCTTATGGCTACAATAAGCAGGGAACACTAGAGGGCCATCAGCTTGAGACTCACTAGTCTAGATCCTTCCTGTACGGTGAGACTTTATTCATCTATCCTTTGAAAAGCAAATATGTCCATGCTGCCTCCAGATTATAAGAAGGCATGGTCCTCTTCTTTGAGAACATGTCAGAATCCATTCAGCCATGGAATACACATGCCTGGGTACAGCTCAAGAACAAGTAGTTGGCAATGGGGTGTCCTTTCAGCAAGGAAACAGAATCCTGGGCTCTCCGTGACCATTATAATGGAGTGATGCTCCCTTCTGGGTACCCTCTTATCCTCATTGTGAGTGTATTCATCCAATATATTCAAAAATATATTCAAGTTCTTGGATCCTTTTATGGATGGTGCACTGATGGACGCTGTATTAGTCTGGTTGCTGAGACACAATACTTGACACCCACAACTTAAATGACGAGCATTTGATTTTGGCTCACATTTGGTCTATAGGCTGCTGGCTCCAAGACAGGACAGCATAGCAGAGGGGCATAGTGGAGGAAAAGCTGCTTACATCATGGGTGCTCAGAAAGCAGAAAGACAGGGGAGGGTGGAGGGGGTGGAGGGTGTGAAGTCTGCACAGGTACTGGGGAAAAAAATAAGAACCAAGATACATCATGTACAGGTGCAAGCACCCAATGATAAATGTAAACGTATTATATACCTAAAATGTACCAATAAAAGAATTTAAGGAAAAAGAAAGAAAGACAGGGAGAAGCAGGACAAGGACACCCTTCCAGGTCACATGCTCAGTGTCCTGCCTCCACTGACAAGACCCCACCTCCTAACAGGAAGTCAGCTCCCATGATTCAGTCACCTTCCAGAAACCCTACCTGTGAGTATATGAGGCCTTTAAGGGACAGTCTCAAGTCAAACCATAACAGATACTGAGAGGCAGCTTCAACCCTGGAAGAGGTATGTGAAAGGCCACATCCTATATTGTGTTTTCTCTGCATTCAGCTCTCCTCAATGGCTGGCAAGGTCCTCCAGGGGCACCTTGGGCCAGTTGAGCAGACAGGCTGCAGAATAAGACTCCAGGGTTAAGTTCCATAGATTGTGTCCCTTCCATGACTTATGTGACCTTTTACAGGTGCCTTACTTCTCTATAAAAGCAGAATAACTACTAACTCTACTAGATTGTGAAGTTCAGAGCAGTGAATTATGTATTGTAAGTTGTCATAAGTGGTAGGTATTCTGATTATTCATGCACGCACTCAGAATAACACAAAAACTTGAGGAAAACATATGTATTTAAAAAACACCAAAGAAGTGTAGGGAACAGGGAAAGGGGACGTTACTAGAACCTCTGCAGTAAGTCCTAGTCTCCTGCGAGCCACGGCAGCACAAGGCGAATTACAGGAAAGGTAGAAAAATGAGACTTTGAGAGGAAGCTGAGCTTTGGGTCTGGTCAGTGCTGCCCTGGGCGGCAAAGACAAAGCCCCCAGGTTACCGCACCTTTTATTCAGTACTCAGTACATCGGGAGAAACAAATGTAACAAATGACTTGCAGAGAGTTCAGTACATCCTGCGTAAATAAGATGTAACAATCCAAGATCAAGGAGGAACTGAATAGATGTTTGTTCCTCCCAGGATGTTCTCAGCTCCCAGAATGTTTCTTGTCCTGGAGCATCACAGCATCATTAGATCATTGAGGTCTCAGTTGTGACCGGAGGCCAAAAGAGGAGTTGTGTCTTGGAATTCCATAGCTGGGCTGTAGGCAGGAGAACTAGGCTAACCAAATGATTTTACGCTAGAATTATGTAGCATTGCTCCCGACAAAGAAGTAGCCCATATCATTGAGAAATGAGTGCGCTTCTGACAGCTTCCTTCTTTTCACTTGTGACTTCGGCGAAAGTTATCGGTCTCCATTCATTTTATAAACACAGTCATTTTTCAGTGATGTCAGCAACTTTCCAAAATTGAATATTGTGCTTTTCCTCAGTCTCATTTTATCACATCATGATTGAATTGCAAGCATCGGTGGACTGGATGCAAGAGCCTGGGAAAAATCATCAAAAGCATTAGGTGAGAATCAGTTTGCTAAAAGGAATTTACAGTAGAGAGGATTGTAAGTTTTATTGTTAAATTGTAAGGCATGCATTGCATGATTAATATTTCTTACATTTTCATATGTGTATATGTTGATGAACTGCTGGAGAGCTATATTTTTTTCCTATGGATGTGTGAAATTTTTAGTGTGTTAGGACAAATTTGGAAGAGTTTTCTGCGTTTGCATGTGAGCACCATCATGTAGCATGTTCTCTGGGCATGTAATGTGTGTGTATAAATAGGCAATGTTGGAGGATTGTGCATTCAGGACATGTTTTATGGTTGTGTGTATTGTTCTTATGGATTCTAGGATTTGTATGTGATTCAGTGTTTGAAGGCAGGTCTATGACTAGTTTTAGGGACTGATAAAATAAGTATTTGTAATTGTGGTATAGAGTTTATATAATTCTCTATTCTGTAAATTTGAGGAACTACTTGTGAGTTTTGGCAGTTTGTGATGATGTATTTGCAGGTCATGTGGACTTGCATGTATATATAGGGACAAAGGACAGTAAGTATATGTGAGTATTTATAGTGTGTATGTGGGGGGATAATTTGGATATATTGTGGCTTGAGGAGAGATCAATTTATTTTTGTGTGTGTTCAAGGATCATGGCAGTTTGGATTTTCTGTAGTTATCTGAACTTTTCAGCTGCTAGTTATTAGCATGTATTTGGGAAGTGAAAATGTGTTTTATCTAGTCAAAGGTTGAAGTTATGTGTTTTTACAAGGGAGAATGGGAATTCTATTTGTGTTAGAACTATGGTTATTTGTCAGTATTTGGGGATGTACAAGCAGGCTTTGATCAGGAATTCTTTGGGACTTGTAAGAGGTTTTATGCATATTTATAAATGGTATGTGGAAGTTATTTTACGTTTCTTGGGCGTGTATGTAGTTTGTATGGCTGTCCATCCGGAGGAATGAATTATACCAGTTTGCTCATAGGGTATTGGATTTTTAGACATATTATAGGTATGTTTAGGACTATTTGAGTATTGTGGTTAGGAGGTAGTATTTTGGAGGTACAAAAATGTATACATTTGAGGAAATGTATACATTCAAGAATTGGTATTATTTGTATATGTGTGTCCATTGATGTGTGGGAGTAGTGTGTAAATATTAATAAGCATACAGACATTAGTGCTTTGTATTTATTGGAGTGTTTGGGGTGCACATTTATGACTTTTGCAGGTGCATTTTGGGGGTTTTACGAGTATACAAGTGACACTGGGGTCCTCTTTATATTTATTTTGCAATGCAAACTTTGAGTTTTGTGATGTTGCTTCTATGTGTGGTCCTTGTCTCTATGATCTGGTCAGTGTAGGGATTTTGTAGCTATTTGTGTATTTGAGTTTATGGGGTCTAGGGAGTGTGTATTCTGGGAGTATGGGAGGTTCGTCATGTGTGTTTAGAAACAAATGTTTTACAGATTGTGTGTGCAGTCAAGAATTGTGCAGTATATGCATTTTAGAGTGGTTATGTTTCATATGGGTCATTTTTGGATGGCGCATGAGACAACAGTTTGTATTCCTAGAGCAGTTGTGCCAAACCTATGGCACATGTGCTGCAGCAAGTACATACAGCCCTCTCTGTCAGCACATAAGCCAAGTTGCCCCAACAGCCAGGCATGAAGTAACAGTTGTTTTTTCTAAACTGAAATCTCCTGTTCAGATTTAATTGCATTGTTGGTATTTTGCAAGAAAAAGCTGGGATTTGGGTTGCACTTTGGGCACTTGGTCTCACAAAGATTCTCCATCACTGTCTTAAAGTCTGTGTCTATAGAGTTTTCATTGTGTATATAGGGGCAGACACTTGTGTATATTCATTTTACATAATAGTATTTAGGTGATAATGTTATGTTCGTATACTTGTAGGAGTGCTATGGGGATGTTTAGGGTGAGTGGTGTTTACTTTTTTTAATTCATTAAGTTTATTGGTACATTTCAGGTGTACATTATGATCACATTCATCATTGTAGCTGTACATGATATGTCTTGGTTCTTATTTTTTCCCATTCTCCTTCCCTCACTTCAGCCCGTCCACCACTTCCACTATGCAAAAGCTTTGTTTGCATATTTTCTCCTTTTTTAATTTTTTTCTTTCCTTTCTTTTCTTTCCCTCACCCCCTCCCAGTCCCCCTTCCCCTCTGAACATTTTTTTTCCTGATTTCACAATATCTATTATACATTTTGGTGCTCATTTACACTTTCAGTTTCTCACACCAGAGAACCAGTTCAGTATTTACATATGTGTGTCCTATTTATTGCACTTAAGATTATGGCCTCAAGGTACATCCATTAGCTTTAAATGTCTGTAGTTTATCTTTCTTTATGGCTGAGTGATACTCCATTTTATTTTTAAAAAATCTTCTTTCTCCAGTCACCAGTTGATGGGCATTTAGGCTGTTTCCAAGAGTTAGCTATTGCAAACTATGCCACTGTAAACATGGGTGCACATATATCGCTGTGGTATGATGCTTTTAATTCTTTTGGGAAGACACCAAGAAGGGAAATAGCTGGGTCAAATGGAACTTCTAGTTTTCATTTTTTGAGGAGTCTCCACACTGATTTCCAGGAGGTTGCACCAGTCTACACTCCCACCGTCAGTAGAAAAATGTTCCTTTTCCTCCACAGCCCTGCCAGCATTTGTTATTAGTTGATTTCTTGATAACAACCATACTTTCTGGAGTAAGGTGAAATCTCAGCATTGTTTTAATTTGCATCTCTTGAATGCCCACTGATGTTGAACATTTGTTCATATATTTATTTGCTGTTTGTAGTCTTTCCATTTCAGATTTCAATTTTTGGATTGGGTCTTTAAATATGGGTGGTCTGATTTTTTTTGAGGGTTTGTGTGTGTGTGTGTGTGTGTGTGGTACTGGTGATCAAACTCAGGACCTTGCATTTGCAAGGCAGTGCAGCATCACTGAGCTAAATCCTCTGCCCTTGAGTTCTTTATATATTCTAGATAGTAGTATTCTAGATAATAGTCCTTTTGTCTGAGGAACAGCTGGCAAAATTTTTTCCCCACACTTTTGATTGTCTCTTCACTCTGTTGGTGATTTCTTTTGCTGTGCAAATGCTGTTTAATAAAATGAGATCCCAGTTTTTGATTCTTTGTGATATTTCCTGTGCAGTTAGGGGTTTTGTTCATAAAGTTTTTGCCTACACCCATGTCTTCGAGAGTTCTACCTATTCTATCTTCCAGCAGATTGTTTTTATTTTAATATTTAGATCTCTTTTCCATTTTGATTTTAGTTTAGTTCATGGTGAGATATATGGGTCTAGTTTTAAACTTCAGCATGTGGAAAGCCTATTATTCCTGTACCATTTGTTAAAGAGGCTATCTTTCTTACAGTGAAAATGTTTGGCCCCTTTGTTGAATATCAAGGTGAGTGAGTATGTGTGGGGTTGTTTCTGCATCTTCCAACCTGTTTAATTAATACTTGGGTCTGTTTCTGTGTGTGTGTGTGTGTGTGTGTGTGTGTGTTGCCAGTACCACGATGTTTCTGTCACAGTAGATTTGTAATTCAATTCAAGGATTGTGATGAATCCAGCCTTGCCTTTGTTGCCCAGTATTGGTTTTTCTATTCTAGGTCTTTTCTGGTTCCAAATGAATTTTTGGAGCATTTTCTCGAATTCCGTGAGATATCCTTTGGAATTTGATTGAGATTGCATTAAATGTATATAACAATTTTGGAAATATGGCCATTTTCACTATATTGGTTCTTCCTATCCAAAACAAGAACAAGAATTCTTTTACTTCCTTAGTTAGAATGATTCCTAGGTATTTCATTTTTTTGGATGCTGTTGTAAATGGGCTTGTTGCCATAATTTTTCCCTCAGTGAGTTTGTTATTCATGTACAGGAAAGTTGTTGATTTTTGAGTATTGACTTTTTATCCAGCTACACCACTGAATTAAGTCTGGAAGTCTTTTAGTGGTGTTATTGGGGTCTTTTATGTAGAGTATCATGTCATCTACAAATAATGATAGTTAACTTCTTCCTTTCCTATAGTTACTCCTTTTATTACTTTCTCTTCTCTAATTGCTCTGGCTAATGTTTCCAGAACTATGTTGAATAAAGTTGTGAAAGTAGACATCCTTGTCTTGTTCCTGATTTTAAAGTGAAAGCTTTCAGTTCTTGTCTGTTTAGTATGATGTTGGCTGTTGGTTTGTCATAGATGGTTTTTATCAGATTGAGATAAAGTTCCAGTTTTCTGTAGGGTTTTTAATCATGAATCGATGTTGGGCTTTGTCAAGTGCTTTTTCTGCATCTATTGAGATGATCATGTGTTTTTTGTTCTTGGCTCTGTTAATATAATGTATTACATTTATTGATTTGCATTCTTTGAAATATCCTTGCATCCCTGGGATGAATCCTACTTGGTCGTGGTGTACAATCTTTGTGATGATTTGCTGCATTCTGTTTGCCAGTATCTTTATTGGCCTGTAATTCTCTTTTTTGGTTTGATCCTTCACTGGTTTTGGTAGAGGGTAATACTGGCTTCTAGGAATGACTTTGGAAGTATTACTTCCCTTTCAATTTCATTAAAGAGCTTGAGAAGTATCATCATAATGTCTGCTCTGAATTTCTTGTAAAATTCAGCAGTGCATCCATGGGACCTGGGCTGTTTTGTTTTGTTTTGTTTTGTTTGTACTTGGGATTGATCTCAGGACCTTGCACTTGTGAGGCAGGCACAGTGCCACTGAGCTAAATCCTCAGCCTTGTTGGTAGGTTTTTAATTACCTCTTCAGTTTCATTCACTGTTATTGGTTTATTTAGAATTTTTATATCTTCTTGATTCAGCTTTGGTAATTCATATGTATCTAGGAATCTATCCATTTCTTCTGTGTTTTCTATCTTACTAGAATACAGGTTCTTAAAATAAATGTTGAAGATCTTCTGGATTGTTGTAGGATCCATTGTGATTTCACTCTTTTCCTTTCTAATTGCATAGATTTGAGTCTTTTCTTT